GATAACATGTATGGGTGGTTTTCAAAGTAATGTATGTTGCAACATGGGAGCTTCCCTATTCACAGCTGACCAACCTGACGGTGGGTGGTTGGACCCCGAGAGGTGCTGCGCGAACAGGCTGGGGACGAAAGGGCTGCGGGACCTTGCTTCCCCTTCCCTTATCTTTCTTCCCGTTGACGGAAAACAATTAAAGAAGCGGTGTAACAAACTGCTTTACTTACAGCAGTTTCAAGATTAAGCTTGCCAGTAACTCGAGAGCTCTTTACACGTCTGAACGATATATTCGGTCACGATGGGGGGGTGTCCAGGGGGAAGGGATTTCGTGGACACAGGACCTCCGGTGAGGGTGATCAGGCCTCTCCAATATCGCGCGAGTCCCCCCTCCTCCCCCTCCTTTTTTTCCAGTTATACTGCTCGGGTAGCCAATAGGATTGAGCCGAGTACATCCGGAGATATTTTTTTTTCTTTTCTTTTGCACGCTGAACGGGCTGCATGAGCCAGGAACTTTGCTGCATGCACTGATCACGCCCTGAACACGCGGTCGCTCGGCCAATCAGATTATGTCTCTGACTTTACGTCAGAGGCTTTTCGTGCGGGCCGAGAACACCGATCACGTGGCTATCAGGCCGCACCCACCACTTCCCCCATGCCACGAGCACAACTTGCTCTCGTGTTTGGCGTTTGGTCACTTTTCTTTATCACAACAGCAAACAGGAAGGGATGTTTACACGGGAAGACTTAATGATGAGAGCTGCATTAAAAAAAAATAGCTTACACAGTAACAGTAACGGTACCATTCCTTATCCAAATTTCTGATGGTAGAGAGGAAATGGGTTCAGCTATTTTAAAACAGTGCTTGAATGATACAATTATTTATGGTAAAACCTGTATTAAACTTATTTCATATTTGTCAAAAGTTTTCTTTCATTTCCCAACTGCCCTGGCTCTGAAACAACCTTTATAGCTCTGCAGGGTGATTTTTTTTTCATGCATTGCATTCATTTTTGCAAACACTTAGACATGAATAGTCCCATTGGTTTATAAAGAGTACATGTTCCCATTGCATACATTTAACCATATGCATAACTGTTTGCAGGATTAGCTCCCTACAAACATGCTAAATGATTCAGCTGACTGAAGACAAGGCAACCAAAGTACAAGCATGCAGTTATCTGGGCTAGCTATGTCATGAAATAGACCCTCTGTTTTGTGGAGCTTCTTGGCATGCACTTTGCATCCTAATGTGGTGTAATCTGGCCTCTTAAAGGGCTAGGAAAACTCAAGTCTAGAGCTAGTTTTAAAAATATTAACACCACAAATATTTTTACTGACTTCTGAGATTTTTTTTAAATCAACAAAATGACTGACTTTTAGCTAGTCAACATGTACAACAGAAATGCTTAAAAATGTTGGTTAAAATTAATTTTGAAACAAAAATTAACCTATTAAAATTATTAAACATAGTAGATGTTTCTATTTCTCATTAGTGTAGAGAAGGCTGGTGGTGTTTCTACACGAGTTAAAAAATGAATGTATCAGAGGGAAAAAAATTGTAAAAAGGGAGGGACATGTGGCTTCACTCACTTTTCAGCTTCATCCCACATCTTCATACACATCAATTCCCCAAAACATCTGTGCTTTTCCCAATTCCCAAAGGCCCCCTGCCCCCATCCCATACAAGTCCACAGTGGCCTTGGAGGCTGAATGAAGAATAGTTTCAAGGCCTGCTGCAGGAAAAAAGATGAAGTGGTGATATAAACTAAAATACCTACAGGAAAATTGAATGCAGATTAAATCCCTAGAGAAGTCTTTGCTGCTATCTAGGTTCTTCTTTAGGATTTTAGATCACAATCTATCACTATAGTTTATGATGTCTATTAACAAAACTATCTGCAAGTTTCCAATGCCAAGAGAATGGCTTTCAAAAGAGTCAGTGAATTCAAGAACCAAAGTTTTCCTTTATAAACAGTAGTCAGTCATTATTGCTGCTGGTGGTGCTGCAGCAATCCTTCTCTCATTGCTCCATAGTTCTTGTATATTAACAAAATCTGGCACTTATATATTACCTTTCCCCATGAATCTCTTAGTTTATCTGTTAAGGTGGGACATGGGGAAGGAATGGGAAGCAAGAAATCTGCCCTGTGTGGGACAAGATGAGATGGACCTTTAGCATGTGGACAGATGTGATGCTTAGAATGTTCTAAATACCCTTTAAAACCCAAGTCCAGATGTACAGGACACTTAAGACTGGGTTAATCTTCGTGGAGTGCTTCAGAAACGCTCCAGGAAAATTCAGTACTATTTTGAGCTAATACTCCTTGAACCAGATCAATTTTACATAGGGATACAGAGCATTCTGTACCCAGTGCCTGGTCAGTCCTTCAGGCATCCCAAACTGCACTGCTTCTAACTCCCAACATATGCAGGGAAAGGGGCTGCTCTGAAATGCATGCAGGACTCTGTTGTCCAACCCCACCACCCTCTATACTCCCTCCTCAGGGCAGACAAAGTGGGGACTTTTTTACACCCCCAAATCAAGTAAAGATCCTGCCCCCTTGCCCTTCCCTCAACTTTTGCCACCGCCTCTATTCCCTTCTGTGCTCAGCAACACATCCCCTCCCCTCTCCTTCCCCCACCTGACACTGCTTCTGTCTGCACTGTCACTGTCTGATCTGGGGGTGGGATCTCCAGAGCTAACCCTACCCCGCCTTTTACCAGGGAGGGTGGCAGCAGTAGGCAGGGTCCACCTTTCTACCCCCTCTTCCTAGGTGTTCCCAACTAGCCCAGGTTCAAGTGCAGGGAGGGGGAACCCACCCACCATTACTGCTGCTGTCCCTGGCTGAGCCCAGCTGGAGTGGGGCAGAAGTGGCTCTGGATCTTCCTTGCCTCCCCACATCAGTTGAGGACAGTGGCAGCAGCCAATGGGGAAGTGGAGAACAGGAGGGGAGCGGACTTGCTGCTGAAGACAGAAGGGAAGGGAGAGAAAAGATTCTTATCTGATTTGGGGACTGCTCCCATGGTGTGGTCCAAAAGTGGCAATTGCATCCCTTCACTCCCTCTGGACCTGCTCCTGAAGGTGCTAAGGGACTGTGTGGCCCCCTGTTTGTGGTTTCTGGTGAGCTATGCTCTGTGCTTCCCAAGATTTCCATGACTTTTCAACCCCTGCCTTGAAAGCTGCACTGTCAAGTTAACTTCCCTGTTAGAGACTGCACTCCACGGTCAAGGGGGAGACAAGCTATTCAGCTCTCCCAGCACTTGAAAACCCCTCCACTCCTCCCTAGGACAGATTTATTTCCCATTGCTACCTTGAGATGGCCATTATTTTCCAGGAGGTCATTAATGATGTGTCTAGTAGAATAATTAGGGTGGACAAGAGGGGCACCCAACCCAGTTCCTAATAAGGAGGGTTACTAGAATTGCCTCCTGCCCCTACAGAGTCCATGCTGTAGCAGCTTTGCCATGCTGAGAGCTCCAAAGCAGTCCCCAGCTGCTGCAGCAACAGCTGGGGTGGGCAGAGCACATGGCAATGACATCAGCAGCTCAGCCAAAGCCTGTTTAGGAGTTCCTGTGTTACTGCCCCTCCCAGCTCAGAACCATGCACTCTGCCCCAGTCTCCCAAAGAGTTTCCCAGGTTTGCAGCTCTGCTCGTTACACCACTGTATTTATCCAAGGTGTTCAAGATGGAGGCTGTAGGTAACAACCAGATTGACTTTGTTGTCCTTGTCCTGAGGTTGAGATTGGAGCAGGTTCTGAGTCTGGCTTTGTTGATTTGAATGGCTATGGTTCTGGGATTGCATTACAATTGTAGGAATCCCCTCTCCAGTTCCTTAAGATGTGCATCCTGGTCAGTGATATCAGAACAGATGTGGTTGTCACACAGAGTGTGGCTGTAGACAGTGTATCTAGTGGTATACTTTGGATAAAAGGTGGTGGTGTGAAGGCAGCTGTGGTGGTTGGTGGTTTTCTGATACAATGTGGTGGTGATGTGGCTATTACAAGCCTCCACCATGGAAAATGAATTTGCTGAGTAGAGTATTCCAGAGGTAGTTTGATAGAGGGATGGAAACTATTAAAGGTCTGGTTGAACTTATCTAAAGATTCCTTCCTATGTGTCTGTACAATGAAAAAGTCATTGATGTACCTTAGGTATATCAGGGGAATGAGAGAGCAGTTGCAAAGGAAATGGACTTCAGGTCTCTCATAAATACATTAGCATATTGGCAGGCCATACATGTGCCCATGACAGTGCTATTTATTTTTAGGTATAACGACCTGAAATAGTTATATGTGAGAACGATAGCAGGGTGCACTCCCTGTGGCAGACTCAAGAGCCCTTTTCTTAAGAAAAGTCAGGCTCTTTATTACACATCTGGAGAACTCCTCTGTAGAGGAAACAAAACAATTCTTCACATTCAAATAAATAAATACATCTTCTCTCCACAGTAACCAACTGAGTACAGGTACACAGCAAATATAAACCAAACCTCTGGGTCTTTTCCCAGACACTGGGAGAGAGGTGATCTGATGATCACTCATCAGTGGTACTCATCCTTCAGTCAACTTAGCTCCTCTCTCCTTCTTCCTCCTCTAGCTTCCCTTCTTGGCAACTTTTTAACTTCCTTTTGTCAGTCAATTATCCTTATCATCTACCCAATCCCTCTAGGCTAGCTTACAATCAGTTTTGCCTGCCTGCCAGCCACTGCTCTGCAACTCCCAAGGCTTGCAACCTTCTACAAGAACACAGTAGAAGACCGCAATAGAAAAAGAAGCAGTGTCCTCATTAGAGATAATGTTTTTTATAACCTGTAATCAGTCCTTATGAAGGATGAGACATCCATGGTACTGTGGCAGGGCACTTTGTGTGCCTGCCACTTTAAGGGCCTGGAGCTGGCAGCTGCCCAGTGCAAGGGCCTGGAGCTGGCAGCTGCCAAGTGCCTAATAAGGGCAGCCATTTTAGATTCAAGGCTGCCCATATAAACAAGGCAGTTCTGCTGCTGGGGGCCAGACAACAACATCACCTGGCTGGAGGGCTGTTAGTATCATCTGGAGGTAAGGGCAGGAGCTGTAGGGGATGGTAAGGAGGCTCCTGATCCTGGGTATGACCTAAAACTGAACCCTGCCAGGAGTGGGTGGCCTGGGGGGGCTCTCAGTCATGCAGGAACCCCCAGGAAATACCAGGCCAGTTACCACCCCAGTGAAAGGCGGATCGGGGTGCCTTAACCCGTAGCCCCATGACCGGGTGGGTTACCCCTTTGTTTGGAGGACCCAGAGGGTGGACCCTCGGAGAGAGGAATGGGCCATAAACTCAATGCCTGTCTGAATTTCCCCTGACTGGCCCATGCTGGGGCCAGGACCGGAAGGGTCAAAAGGCCAGGGACCCACCATGAGGAATGCCCAAGAGCCGAGGGCCTGGGGTTCCGACTGGCCTGGAGGTGGGCCAGAGCTAGTGAGCTGAAGGTCCCAGTGGGGGGATCACACCCGAAGGGGGATCAGTTCAGGGAGCTATGTTGCCCGGTATGATGGTGGAAGAGTCTGCCTGAGGGGAGGAATCCAGGTGGGGTTCAATAGGAGGATTTTGGGGCCCAGTGTGGGGGCTGGTGATAGTGAGAACATCATGATGCCATCTGTGAGGCTTGTGCTGTGGTATAGGAGAGGAATGGAGCCGTAAATGGCACACCCTGGCATCGGGGCAGAAAGGCAGCCTCCTGCATATTAACATCTCTATTTAACTAATTAACAACAAGGCGTGGTGGGCAAGAACGTGGGTGGTTAGCTCAGGAACAGGTGGGCGGGCCATGGAGATCGGCCCCGAGCAGGCCCCCAGTTACAGGTACCTAAGGTGGTGTGTTCTGGAAGCTTGTCAATGGAGCCCAGTTTCTTTAAGAAATATGTAGTGTCTTCCAACTGAAGTTGCAAATGGGAAAAGAATAGAGTCAACGTAGCCAAAACTCCCTGTGTGATGGTGCCAATGCCAGAGACAATGTGGAGTCCTGAGTTGCCAAGTTTGTGGCTCTTAGGTAATAAGTAAAACTACCTTTCTCTGCTAATGGAGAGAGAGTGTGAACAATCAGGGTGTCAGGTCCTAAGGGATAGAATGGGCAGAAGGAGGCTAGTGGAGGAGATTTGGGGGCAGAGCAGTCTTTGCAGGTGCTCTGGATTGTGTGGGTTCGACCGGGGACAGAAACTGGCTACTAGGGCTCTGTGAAATAGCACCATTTTGTTTCAACGTCTGTTTTGCTGTTTTGGTGGGACAGTGTTTTGTTTTGAGTTTTGTTTCGCTTTGAAAGCACTGTTCTGTTTCATTTAATTGAAACTGTTTCACTGTTTCGATGTTTCACCCATAGGCTATAATGGGGAAGCACGAAACTGCCTATAACTTTTCATCCAAATCTGCCAAAAAAGGACAAACAGGAGGGATGGTAGCCCCTTCTGAGGGCATGAAGCCTGCCAAGTTTCAAGGAGATAGGTGTAGGAGTTTCTGGGAAACTGCACCTCAAAGTCTTGAAAGCAAACTTTGTGTCACCTGTAAAAGTGTGAAGGCACAGGTTGGGGCTGGGGTGAAAACAGCAGACATGGTAGCCCCTTCTAAGGGCATGAAGCCTGCCAGGTTTCAAGGAGATAGGTGTAGGGGTTTCTGGGAAACTGTACCTCAAGCTGCTGACAAGCAGAACTCATGACGTGTGTGTGTGTGTGTGTGTGTTAAGGTGCACCCTCACTGGTGCTGGGGCCTCTACATGACACAGTAGTATGCCCCAATGCAGTCTCCTTCTCCCCTACAGCCTCATACTGATCCACCACTTTAAATGACAACAGCTCACAAATAGTGTCTTAACTCTTTCACGTACTCTGCATTGTTTGTGCCTCTAGGTGGGGGGTGGGGTTCTTCCCAACTGTCTCATACCAAATCCAACAGGCCCCTTGGGTGATGCCCATATATCAGGTCAAGTGGGGCAAAACCCAAGGATGACTGGGGGGCCTCCCGAACTGCAAACAGCAAGGGGGGAACCATCAGGTCCCATTTACGAGGTTCCGCCTGAACACAATGGCACAACATATTTTTCAGTGTCCCATTAAACCGCTCTACTAGGCCTCTGGTTTGTGAGTAGTACACAGTCGTGCGTAGCTGCGTGATCTTAAGTACCTTACACATATTCCGTAGGACGCCTGACATAAAGTTAGGCCCCTGGTTGGTAATAATCTCTTTGGGCTTCCCCACCTGAGTAACCCACTTAAGGAGTTCTTCTGCTACTCAGGAGCCCGTGACCAACCGCATGGGCACTGCCTCTGGGAACTGAGTCATGTAGTCTTTAATTACCAGCAAAAATTGGCACCCTGATGCTCTCCTGGGGAGTGGGCCCACCACGTCCAGAGCAAGACGGGAAAAAAGAGTATCTACTATGGGCACAGGTTGTAACGGAACCTGTGCTGATTTTTTCCAGCTTACCTTCTGGCAGGCAGAGCAGGCCTGGCAGACCCTCTCTACCTGCTTGTACATTCTAGACCAGAAACACCACTTCATCAGTCAAGCCTCCATCTTACTACAGCCCATACGCCCCCACAAGGGATTCTCATGAGCTAAGTTCAACAAGGGAACTGTCACAGCGGGGTCCTCCAGGTGGGCATGATCTCCTTAAGGTCCCTCTCACCGTGTCAAGGCCGGCCCAAGGGCACCCTCTATTCTTGCCCGCCACGTCTTTGATGTTCAGTATATGTTGGGAGGCTGCCTTATACCGCCTTGGGCACGGTGTATCGGGACCTCTGTCCCTGCAGTTTTCCCAGATTCTTGTGGTCTCCCCGTACGATGGGTGCTACTCAGGCACCCTAGCCTTATGGGCTACGCGTGGCTCCTACCAACCCCTAATACCACGCCCCAAGCCTCGCAGATGTACTGGACATTAGTCTGTCAAAATACACGCCCGCTCCCCCGGGCCTCCTCTGTAGTCTAGCCCACTCCTGGGCCTTCTCTAATATACGGCCCCTCACTGGGACTCTCGTCGAGCCCACTCTGGGCCTTCTCTAAAATAACCTAGCCCACTACGGGGCTTTCTACCGAGTCTCCGGTCCTTTAGGCCCACCGCACGGCTACCCTCTCTGGTCCAGGCTCACCGCGCTGCTATCCCCTTTTGCCGGGGACCACCGCAGCACCTTGCCTTTCCCCTGGGGTGTTGTACTGCTAACCCCTTTCGTCGGGGTCCACCGCAGCACCCTGCCCCTATCTGAGGGCTATTGCCGTACTAGCCTACAACCAGGCTCTCTACGCCCGTCTTGGCGCCCGTCAATGGTCCCCCTCTCTGGGACCTTCCATGCCCGTGCCGGGCTTTCTGATACTATCGCCCCCTCTCTAGGGCTTGCTGTGCCCCCGCTGGGCTCCTTAATAATCCCACCCCCTCTCTGGGGCTCGCTGTGCCCACACTGGGCTCCTTAATAATGCCACTCCCTCTTTGGGGCTCGCTGTGCCCACGCTGGGCTCCTTAATAATGCCGCCCCCTCTCTGGGGCTTCTCAATGTTGCCCCCTCTTTGGGGCTTGCTACGCCCACACTGGGCTCTTCAAACGCCCCTCTCTGGGGCTGGGTTCTGCGCACCCCCGTAAACTGTGCCCTTACTGGCGCCTGGATCCCCACGCTATTGTGGGTCTCCTATGAGTACGCTGCGCCCACCTCAGGTGCTGGGGCCCCCATACCACTGGGGGTTCCCCCTGAGTATGCTGCGCCTGCTCTGGCGCTGGGGTCCTCACCCTTCATTGTGACTCCCCAATGAGTACGCTGTGCCCTCCTCAGGCGCTGGGGGCCCCCCCTCCCCCGGGGGGCCCCTGGCAGCCTCCGCCGTCCCTATGAGGCCTCCTCCAACCCCTTATAGCCTCACCCTAGCCACTGGTCTAATACAAGCACTAACAAAACAAAACACAAGCTTCCTGGCTATAACTCAACTTAAGGCCGCCTGGCTGTAACAACATAGCTCCTGCGTCCCGGAGCCACCATCCTTCAGTCTGCTCGAGCGGTACTTGCATCCTAGCTCTGTGAGCTCCTGCCCCTCTGACAGCTAGCAGGGAACTGCCAGCCTGGCTTCAGCCCTGGGCTTTATACGGGCCAGGCCCTGCCTCCTACAGGCAGCTGACTCTCATTAGTTGTGAGTCAATCTATCTGGAGTTGCCCTGGCAACTCACAGCTGAGCTCATTATCCCTGCTAGGGCTTTTCCCCAGCAGTTTTCCCCTCTCTAGGAGCGGGGCAGCGAGGTGCCCCACGACAGGAACCCTGAAGATTTGTGAGATCAACAGCTAAGGAACCTCCTGTCCCTCCCAGGACCCCATTTTTATCTGGTATAATAAACACCTTCTAACCTCAAACCTGGGTAGGCTTGCATAGTGTTCTGGGTCAATCACGACCTCATCTTTCTTGGCTAGCTCAGACTCGACTATAGCTCGGAACTCAGGTTATTCAGCCTGTGCGTCCCTGAATGGCTCATTGTTGGACAGGCCTTCCACATCAAAGCTCTCTACCATCTGTATCTCCTCTTCATCTCCCATCAGACCTGACAGCCCTCTATCTTTTGCGATGTGCAGCACCTCATAAATTTCCCTCCAATTGCACCTTAATATCATGGGGTACAGGAGGTTGTGGGCTAAACCTACCAGCATTTCCCTCGCAGCCTTCAGCAGCATGGTCACCTTGTATATCCTCCATGGGTAGTATTTTCCTTGCCCATGCATACACGTCATCTTTACAGGATTTGTTTTCCAAACATATCCGGTCGGTGCTGATGCAGATTGGATAAATGTGTGCGCATAGACAGTATCGATAACTGCCTCAAATCTTCTATCTCTTATCCATGCCTCAATGGTAGGTTTGGGTAAATGCCGTCCTCCTCCTTTTGTCCTATGCTACAGTCCATAGACTCTACCCCTTTAGGCTTTCTAGATCCTCTGGTGGTTCCTATTCCCTCAAATGGGGAATGTCATAACTTGAGCACTGACCACGCCATACTGGTACAGTCTCGGGACATATGTCCAATCCTCCCACATCGGAAGCAAACCACTGGAGTGTTGCCTGATCATTTAAAGTCTCAGGTCTGTTTACTTCCTGGCCTCATGGCCCCACGAGGCCTAGAGTATGAACCTGCCTTCATATTCCGCTTTGGAGGCCCTTCTCCCAGGGTGCTATTGAAGTTCTCCGCCAATTGCAGAGGCTCAGCAGATGTCATGGGTCAATGATAATGGACCCAAAAATCTCCTCATCCAGGTCAACCAGGAATTGGTCTAACAGAATTTTATTGCAAATTTCCGCCTTCAAACTATCTGCGGGCTTCAGCCACTTAGTTACAAGATCACCTAACTGCTGCAACAGAGCCCTTTCTTCCTGCTTTTTCTTGGCTTAAAAAGCCTGTCTATAAGTCTCTGGGTTAATATCCAACCAATATAAAATCATCCTCTTCATTTTATCATGGTCCAGAGCTTCATCTTGGGTCATAGCCCCATATCCCACTTGGGCTTTTTCTATCAGCAAAACCCCCAACTGTCCAGCCCAGCAGGCTTCTCCAGCCCAGCAGCCAATGCTGGTCTCTCAGAACTCTCCAAGAAAATTTTTGGGGTCATCATGAATGGTCATTTTGGGTACTTTCAATTCCATGATGTTCCTTTGATGCCAAACTTGCTGTTGTACCCAGCTCTCTTTCAGAGCCAACTGTCAGGCTGACTGTTGCTGCAGAACTTGTCCCATCAGGTGCAAGGTCTGTTGAATCAGGACTGGCCCTGCCGCTGCTGCAACTGAGACATTCATACTCTCGGATTCTTCCTGGCTGTCATCGAAGTTCCCAGCCAATGCACCAGTTTTTCAGGGGATCACTGCATAAGGACATGGCCTTCTGTACCCCAATGACATTCGCCTACCTGTCCCTACCAAAGAAAAATGCTAGACACCTGGTCAGATTGGAGTTCCTCCTAGATCTCTCCTGCCATGACTTTGATGTTTCTCTAAGTTCCAGGACAGATGATGTTTGACCCTGGCTGCAGGCATCCCCAGTGGAATTCAGCTTTAAAAAGACAACAAAGAAGAAGAAAGAAGGAATGAAAACTGTCCGGCAAGTTTAGCTTCTGCCTTGCCCCCAGCCTGCTGGCACTTGCAGCTCCTGCTGCACAGCTTTTTTGCAGTGTAATCAGCTGATTGAAACCCTGCTGTGATAACTGATTGATTGTGGCAGCAATTAACCCTGCTATGATTCATGAGCTCTTCTGAACTCCTAAACCAACTGGTCGGCCACCCCATTCCTGGGTTTCTTCGAGCTGGGTGTTCAGTGGCTCTGCCAAGCTTGCCTTCCTTCACTCTCCTCCCTGTTTGCCTGGGATGCCTGGCCAGAAAAAGCTCCCAGAGATCCAATCCAGCACACCTGGCAAGTTAATAAAGCCAGCTTTGAACATGCTGGGAGTTTCTTCCACAGTGTGGGGGTCTTCTCAGGTAACTTGCAGCTGGGGCTGTCGGGCTCCCATGAAGAGACACCGTCAGCCTCTTCACAGAAGCACTGTCAGGGACCAGACAAGACTGTAGTCATCTCAAGCAAAGACTGTCTGGCGGGGCCATGTGACAATGCTTAATTAGTGAAGAAGGAAAATATTGTCATCCTCATTTTAAAGATGGAGAAAGACACTGAGAGATTAAGTGGCTTGTCTAATTTTACACAGCAAATTAGTATCAGAGCTGGGAATAAAACCCAAAGTCTTAACTTATATCTTGGATCTAGCTGGCATTGCCTCTTTGTAAGGATTTGTATTATATGTATTTTTCCTTTATGCAAAAGAGCTGTATAATCACAATATCAAAACAGATCCAGAAGTAATAACTCAACTAAAGAAGGGAGGACCTAGAACTGTAGAAGAAGAAGATAAAAGCTTCATGAGAGAAGAAGCTATCAGAAGCATGAAAAATGGAAAAACAACTGGCCTGGACAGTAGACCTGCAGAACTGTTAAAAACAGGAAACAAGACAATTGACATACTATACAAAATCTGCAATATGATATGGAAAAGGAAAACTTGGCCAACAGTGGACAAAATCAATCCGAAAGATGGGGAATCTACACCAAAGTACCAACTACCGCACCATTAGCCGCATCAGTGATCCAACTAAGTTGCTTCTTAGAATAATACTAAACAGGCTCAAGCCACAAATAGAGACTGGGTTAGCAGAAGAACAAGCTGGATTCAGGTCTGGAAGAAGTACCACAGAACAGATCTTCAACCTCAGAATCAACCAAAATACCATGACCACCGAAAAGAACTCCATCATATTTCCATAGACTTTAAAAAAAGCCTTTGACAGGGTGTGGTGAAAAGCACTTTTGCTGACAATGAAGACGCATAACATCAGGCCCACATTGATAAGTCTTATAAAAGAACTCTAAAACAATACAAGTAGTGGAGTCCTGCTTGACATTGGTTTACAGTATCAGTAGGAGTATGCCAAGGCTGTCTTCTCTCACCCTACTTATCTAATTTATACCTGGAACAAATCGTGTCAGATGCCTTAGAGAACTTCACTGGTACAGTGTCAGTTGGAGGACAAGAAATTAACAACCTTTGTTTTGCTAATGACATTGATCTAATAGCTGGAACTGCAGAAGAGCTTAAGGAAATAACAGAAAAGCTGTATAAGGCTACAGAGAGATATAGAATGGAAATTAGTGCGGAGAAGAGCAAAGTAATGATAGCATCAGCCAGTAGCAATGATGATGCATCAGTAAACATTGGTAATGAGAATCTAGAAAAAGTAACACACTTCAAATACCTTGGAGCAGCCATCACAGAAGATGCTACATCAGAAAAATAAGTAAAAACAAGAATAGCAATTTCTGTTGGACAAATAGCAAAGCTGAAGAAAATCTGGACTAGCAGCAACATCACAATGAAAATGAAATTCTACCTACTATAACTATATGCTGTTGGCATTTCAACAACTCTCTATGGCTGCAAGACCTGGACACTCACTAGTGCACTGGAAAAGTGAATTGAGACCATTGAAAGGCAGTGCTTCAGAAGACTTCTACACATACCTTACATTGCACACAGAACAAATGAATCTGTGAAAAATCAAATCAGAGAAGAAGTCGGCAAATATGAACCCTTACTCAAAATCATAAAAAGAAAGATGCAGTGGTTTGGACATGCAACAAGAATACCCAGCACCCTTACCAACTCATCCTGCAAAGTGCTGCAGATAGACAAAAAAGAAGGGGAAGACCTAGGACAAGATGGACCATCAGTATCAAAGACTGGATGGGATTAAAACTGACTGATTTATACAAGGATTGCAAAAGACCAGGAAGAATGAAGGAAAATTATTGCTACATCAAAAGTGCCCCAACAGTCGGTGCGGCCTTGGGACTGACTTGACTTGATTTGTCCTTTGGTATAATAGCAATGTTTATTTAATAATTAACTCAAAGAATGAGGATGAAGCCAAAATAATTAGGAAAACATACTAGTGTGTAGCCCACTAAGACAAATTTAACTCTTGGAAAGTTTTAGGCATGTGTATGATTAGTATTGACTTTTCCAAGCCAGCTTTGCTACGTCAGCAATTGGCATGAAAAACCAGCCACTGTGTTTCCAGATATGGACTTAGTTACCCCAGGGCTCTTTCATGCATTCATACTTTTAAACCATATAAACTGTAACTTCCTGAAAATAAAAATAGCTTTTTTAAACTTAGACTTTCATTAAGCTATTTCAGATTACATATGGTGGGAAAAGAATTTGCTTTTACATAATAAAAGTTTCTGGCTAGTAACAAGATATTTAAGATTTAAAACCTACACACAGGGCCCAATTCTTCTTTTACTTTCAGCAGTGTAACTGCTGACTCCTCTCATATCAGTTTCAATTTTACTGAAAGTCAAACCAAAAGTTTTCAATAAGAATTTAATATTTTCTTTTGTATGCTAAGTAAACCCCCATTCCTGTTCAACTGTAGAGAACCTGTGTAGTTCCACTGCAGTCAATAGAACTATTCACATTACCTCAAGTTCAGCATATATGCGAGCTTTTGTAGGATCATTCCTAATGGATTGTTCAGTCCTACTTAAATAGTTCAGTCCTGCTGTGACAAAATTCATCCAAAAAAGGAAAATGGTTTTCTATAGGATCTGTGGTCTGAAGATCATAGTCATCATGAATTTGTATCACAATGTAGAAAAGCAAAGCTCATCAAGGGAATGATGCCTATGATGGTTGTAATCAGCCTTGTGCTCATTTCAGATGGACAATTTGTTGCTTAATAACTGAGAACCTCTTTTTCATTCTGGGGCACAAAAGGAAGGAAAAAAGGGGGTGGGAAAAGGGTGGCAAAGCAATAGAACTGTCAGAAAAGGGCAATGATGATTACTGTCAGCTTTTGGTATTTAATATGCATCACATCTCTCTGAAATGGGACTTAATTTAGTCCTTGGTACTGCAGACATTTGTGCATGCAAGTCAATTTACACATGTGAACATTCTCACTGAACTCAATAGTAATCATTAACACTCAGTCATATTCATATATAAAATGAAAAACATGCATTTGTCTAGGATTAAGTTCTTTCTAAAGTGTTATGGTTATTTGTAGTCCTTAATTTTATCAGTGGCTTTTTTTTTTTTTTTTTTTTTTTTTTTTTGGAAAAAAAAGATAAAAAAAAAAAAAAAAGTTTTTTTTTTTTTTTTTTTTTTTTTTTTTAGGAAAAGCAAGCTGAAAAAACAAAAACAAAGAATTGAACGGACATCTATCCTAATAAGCAGCTTGATGCACCAGCTGAGTGAATTTTTGCACAAGGCTGGGCGGTGGAGAAATGTTTGCAGCGCATTCTCTTTGTCCAGCACTAGTTGTGTTACAAGCCAGTTAGAGAATGTGGTTTTCATTCTCTTTTGTGGTAAAGGGGCCCTTTGCATGATCAAAGAGTGGGCACTTATTCTGTCCAGCCCAATCAAGAGCACATGCCAAGGAAACTCTTTCCTTGCTGGAGAAGTGCATTGAAGAAGGATCCCCTTCTTCTTTGTTGGCTGCCTTTACCTCTCCCATTCAATAAGCTCTTTTCTTCCCTCTTCCCTCTACAATATTATAGCTCCATGTTAAAGGTACCACTGCAGCTTGGGGATGTATACAGTCTTTCATGGTTGCAAAACCATTTCACAGTTGGTAACGGGCTAGACAATGAAGAGGCGGAGGTGTGTAGCAGAGACTAGAAACTTTCCCAGTACTTCTACCCACTGCAAGGCTGATAATTAGGGATACCAGAACTATGCATCACAGTCTTTAATACTTGTTTTTCATGGGTAACCGAAGTATGAAATGAAAGAACATTTTTTGAATTAACAGTCTTGTAGGATTAACAACCTGTAGACAGTGATCTCTAGAGTTGCTTCAGTTGTTTCTATTGATAGCAGCACTGGCAGTAACACAACTGTATGAAATGAGGTGCAGTAGAACTACTGATACAATAAAGGAAAACAAAAAAAAGAAAAACAAAAAGGGGAATTTTACATTAATCTCTTGTCTAGTTATTGGGAGTTTTGTTGACTTTGATCCTTGTATGCTGTTATTTTAAAATTTGCTAACTCTAGCTTCCAGAATAGACTCAGTCCTGTTGCATGCTTGCTAGCCCTGAACCTATGAATACACAGTCATAAAGTAACACCTGAATGAGCAAACCTGGGGACTAGACAATATTTCCAGAGAATCTGAAAATGAAAACTCCTTCCATACCTTTCTAATCATTTCATATATTGTGTTGTATCCCTTTATAACAAGCATACTTTTCAACAACTGTCCCTATTGAGATTAATTTTCTAATGTTTGAGGTTTTGAGAGTTCTATGGATACAGTCAGTCTCAGTGAAGTTATCTGAATATCATAAACATATGCTATCAAAGAATCTTCACACATTGCCACACAAAATCTAGACCCATTACACCTTTTCAGGGTAGTTAAATATGAGATGAATACGTCTCATTTGCTAGAGGCAGCACACTCAAGTGAACTAAGCAAGGGACTGGAACATGGAAAGTCTGGGTTTTAATTTCAGGTCCAGCACTGAGTAGCTTATGTGGCTTTGGGCAGTCATTTAGGCCAACTTCTTAGAATCTACAAAAGGTGCATGCCTAAATCAATAGTTAGGCACTTTAATGAGGTGCACAATCTTTTGGTGACTACTGGAAGAGACTCAGAAGTCTTACTTCACTCCAGACCAATTACATCATTCAAAAGTAGCCTGCCCAAGCCAGTTTGATGGATTATTCTCTAACCAGAGTTCTGAAGCATCTGAGGGGGGGTATTCTCCGCTGTGAACTAATTATGAGTTAGTCTATCTTGATTTAATACTTTAAAGACAAGTAGATTACTATCAGAATTCAGGATAGGAAACTCTGGAAAAGCACAAGACAATTTGTTTCTTGTTGAGTTTGTAGAGCTACATGGAATGTGTGCAGCTACCAACTTCTCAAATCAGTTGATGCACAGGCAGAAGCAGAAGCAGACTGGGTAGAAAACTTTGCCTATTCTCCATATGCCACCCTAAATCCCTTTTGAAACCATCAGGATGCGCCCATAACTAACCTATGAACAGTTTGAAATTTTGTTCATAGATCTGTTGTCTTGTTCAGGAGAGAGTTCTGTATATTTGTCCTCATGTATTAGATTCAAGTCCAAGGTTCTCCCAAGACTAGAGATCCATTTGGCTAGTACAGTTAAATTATGACAGTTCAGTAGCCAATGGCACACACAAATAATACAGCTGCCTCTCACTCCCCATGTCAAAAACCAATGGCCAGAGGCATGCCTGGTGTAACTCTTATCTGAGCCAGCGAAGTTATACTTGACCTTAGTCCCATGACAAAGGTGCACTCAGGTTTAAAATAAACTTTATGAAAGCTCTGGATGCCCCAAGAGAACAATGTACAGTTAGTATATCTACCAGGATAAATCTCTGTGCTATTAAAACAGATTTGGTTCATTATGCTTTTAAGAAGTTATATATGTACAGATAGCATAATCTCTTATTAGATGGGTGAGTGCCAGACCAAAGGAATTGCTGAGCCAGCCAGTATCCTACCAGGAAAGATGCTCAGCAATAGGCATAAAACCTTGCATTTGAGCTCTCTCCAACATTAGAATGGAACATATAGTGACCCTGTCAATAATATACAGAGAAATGTACATGCTGTTGAGGCTGATAAAGGAATATGAAATCCTAAACCAAGCAAAGGAATGTTTTATTTCAGAAGTATTAAACATGTTAACTGTTTCACTCTACAACAAAACCATCTCATTCTGGCATGGGAATTTTTCCAGCTTCAGTGATTTGGTTTGCTTGTTTATGCTTTCCTTTGTTTTTGTTTTAAATTTTGATTTGAAGGAAATAGAAGAAAAACGTAAAGGATAGCAGGAAAGCGTGGAAGTGATCAGTTCTAACCATAGATCTGACCACAGAGAAAGAAAGCAATCCTTATATGTCTAAACTGATGCTTTGAAAGTTCCCCCTCCTTCTTTTGCCTAATGCAGATATATAATCTCCCTCTGCAGCTAACATAGCTCTAGGGGCCTGATCCTTTTACCATTGAACTCAATGGGAGGTTTTTTTAATTGATTTCAGTGGGAAGATAAATAGGCCCATGGGATGAATCCTCATGCTTTTTTTTAGAAAAGGCTGCCACAAATGCAACATGCACTGTAGGAGAATGGATGTTTAAGGAGTTTGTCTTCCCAGAAAGCTTCTTCCTTTGTTCCAGATGTAAAACAGGTTAACAAGAAAACCTGAAAGATCAAATAAAAAACTCTGTTGTAGCTAAACTGGGTTATAGGACTATTTGGTTCCCCACTACAGTCATATACCCAGATGCTAATACCATTTACCAGC